CACCACACACACACACACATGTACACACACACACACACACACACACACACACACACACACACACACACACACACACACACACACACACACACACACACCTCACACAAATGCACACGCGTGCATGCGAGCACGATATAATACCCAGTATTATAATGCGTATACATCGGAGTGCACACAAATTTATCAATGACCCACAGAAACTCGAAAATGATGCAGGCGGTGTAGTGAGCTCGCATCAGAGGTCGTGACTTGCTGTTGTTTTGTTTTTTTATTTTGTTGTTGTCGTTTTGTTGCGTTGTTGTTTTGTTGTTGTTGTTGTTGTTGTTGTTGTTGTTGTTGTTGTTGTTGTTTTACTGCGATGAAGGGAAGAAGCCCATGCTGTATGCAGACTGGCGAGAGGCGATGCCGAGCAGCAGACTCACAAAGGCCGTATGGTTCTCTAGCCCTGGTCCTGTAGGAGTTCGAGACAACAATGAACATGCTGATGAGCTCACTGGCCAGTTATGAGTCAGCAAGCGTTCAAAATGGATATACTCACGATTTTCAAATGTGACTACTCCCATATTTCCCGTGGACTCCTCGTATAAAATACTCTCATTTGAATTCAATATGAAAATAAAAATAAAGCCGACAATAATGTACATAAAAAACACAACTGACAAGGCACAACTGAATTATTTAAGACCCATAGTAAGAATCACATATCACAAAACCGTATAGAAATTGAGTAGGCGTAAAAATTTATTTAAAGAAAAGGAGATCTGAAAGAGTCTGGTCGCCACTGAGCAGCACCGGAAGTTACTTAGAAACATTGTGAGGCTGATCACCATTCATAACTGGCGGTCCTCTGGTCCTGTAGGACGTCTCCCAGTCCTGTAAATGGTCCTGTGGTCAGATTGGGGCAGATCGTCTCTCCTGACTTGTCCTTCATCGTCTCGTGGTTGATAAAAACAGTCCTCGGGGCCCTAAAGATGAAGAAACGTTCCTGTGTTTTTCTGATGATGTTAGAAATCCCCAAACGGATATAATCTATTTGACAGCGATATATAAATTGTATTTGTAAACGCCACAAACAGATTTTAGTAGTATTGGCCTTTTATATAATACATTGTACTGAAAAAATGACGGATAGGTATTTATAAAAATATTCCAGTAAATATGTATGAAATTTATTTTGCAGTTATGAAATTGGTAATACAAGGTGTAAATGTCATTTAAAAATCTAGGTTTTTTTTGCCGAAACTGTTACAAAATCAAGGATCACTGTTGAATCAGTAGTATTAAAAAGGAAATTTTTTTGGCGTATCTAAAATAATTTTAACTCAACTGCCGTCAGGCCCTCCGTTGGAAACATGAGAAGGCAGCACGGCGTAACCCATAACACTTGGCGCGCAGCTCTCGCCCCGATCACACGCGTTTTTGTGATACTTGTTTCTTCTGGAACGGACTACCTTTCCCCTCGACAGACGGGTGATGTAGAAACTTTTATATTATACTTATATTCCTCATTTCGTTTTTACAGCTAATCTCAACATTTTATACTACGCACTGTGTTTTTATTGGTAAAGAATTCGGAGGAAATTCCGGGCTGAAAATCGGATCTTTACCTTCATCTGCGCACATGAGTT